TTTCCTGGAAAATCCCATGGATACAGGAGCCTGATGGGCTACAGTCCATGGGGTCACAAAGAGTCAGACACAACTGAATGACTAAGCTCACACAACTGTTTATCACTCTATTTTATTCATAATATTATTTGTACCTAGAAAAACTTCATCGTGCTCCTATCTAAAGAGACAATGTTCAGTTATGTGTTCTACTAGCAATAGTACTATTAATACTCTAAATTATGATTATTTTATGTACAAAGTAAGAATAATGTTATTAGTATCATTTGGACCTACTAAAAGCCAGACATTTTGACAGGCACTGGGTTGGGTTAATACAGGAGTGGGGAAGTGGGAGGTACAAACTGTTGGATATAAGATAGACTACAAGGATCTATTGTACAACACAGGGAATAGAGCTGATACTTTGTAATGACTATATATAGAGTGCAATCTTTAAAATTGTACAATTTTTTTTAAGTTTTTATCCTTAGAGAGTTAAAGTTTTAATTGAAAAGAGAGATAATAAAATTGTGTGTGTGTGTGTGTGTGTGTGTGTGTGTGTGTGTAGCAAATCAAAGAGGAATTGAAGATAGAGAGTGACAAGGACATTTTAAATAGGGTGATCAGGAAAGGCTTTATGGGTATATTTGATTGATACTTGAAGAAATTCAGCAATACGTGAACCAAGAAGTTCCAGATGTTCAAGCTGGTTTTAGAAAAGGCAAAGGAACCAGAGATCAAATTGCCAATATCCACTGGATCATCGAAAAAGCAAGAGATTTCCAGAAAAACATCTATTTCTGCTTTATTGACTATGCCAAAGCCTTCCACTGTGTGGATCACAATAAACTGTGGAAAATTCTGAAAGAGATGGGAATACCAGACCACCTGACCTGCCTCNTTTTAAAATAGTCAAATCTATGGGCCCCAGCTTCTGGTAAGCTTTATAAAGTGATTTTTAAATTTTTTGGTGGGGAGCGGGTGGAATTACATTTTGTAATATTTACTTCCTACTGTGACTCATTGGAAAAGACCCTGATGCTGGGATGGATTGGGGGCAGGAGGAGAAGGGGGCGACAGAGGATGAGATGGCTGGATGGCATCACCGACTCGATGAGCATGAGTTTGAGTAAACTCCGGGAGCTGGTGATGGACAGGGAGGCCTGGCGTGCTGCGATTCATGGGATCACAAAGAATCGGACATGACTGAGTGACTGAACTGAACTGAAGAAATTCACTGTAGCTGGGCAAAGTCATGGTCTCCTCAAGGCATAGTCAAGCATCACCCTTTAGAAACCTCTTTGACATGGGTTTGTAGGACAGAATCTATGGCATCTCCTTTGCTCTCTCTGCCACTTCCTTGCTTTGCCCCATCTGGTACCTGCTCATGCTCAGTCACTCAGTCATGTCTGATTCTTTGTGACCTCGTAGACTATCGCTCACCAGGCTCCTCTGTCCATGGGATTCTCCAGGCAACAATACTGGGATGGGTTGCCACGCCCTTCTCCAGGGGATCTTGCCAACCCCGGGATCAAACCCATATCTTCTGCATCTCCTGCACTGGCAGGTGGATTCTTTATACTGAGCCACCGGGGAAGTTGGTGACTGCTGGGAAGATGGTATCATTTAGTTTCATCATCTTGATGGGGATTTATATAATGAAGAAAGGGGAAACTGCAGTTGGCTTTTGCTTTTGTGTTCTGCTGATGAGGCAAGACATTCTGAGTTTGCCGCTGCCCATGGATGAATTTGGAAATTCTGCCCTGTTGCTCTTTAAAAGCTATTATAAGAAAAAAATAAAAAAGCTATTATAAGGAGTCACATCCCAAGTTGCAGCAGTGTTCTTCGTGTTTTGCACAAACTGGATTTTATTTCCTTTCTTTCCATATCTTGAAAACAAACTTGGTTCTTTTCCTCCAGTGTACTGTTTTCATTTCACACAGTAGTTTTTCCCTCCTTGCCGAAATCAGGAAGGAAAACAGATGAGGAGTCAGATTCCATGTCTTCGTGTGGTCTGCTTTCTATTAGAGCCATCTCACCAAGTCTGTAAAAACAAGAGTCCAGGTCCACAGCCTTACTATTGATGGGAAACTGATAGCAGTTTCTTACCACCCCAGTTGTTTTTGCAAAGTCGTAAGTGTCCGACTTCACCTCTTTTCACTGTGACTATTTAATTCCTCCCCAAGTGGCAAAGCCTTCAGCACACTCAGAGGGCCTGAGACTTGGTCCTCAGGAAGCATCACATGTTTGCACAGTTGTCCATCCCACAAAAAAGCTTAACGCTTCATTATCAGCATGGCCTCTGGGAGCTCTGCCCTCTCTCTCTGCCTCCCCACAGATCCTGTTCTAACCCACTGAACAAAATTGCTTCAGGCTGACTCCCTCAGGAGCAAGAGCTTTTCTTTATAAATGGAGTTTTCTTGGGTTGTTGTTTTGTTTATTTCTAAAGCAACAGTCTGGAGGTGTTTGAGAACCATCCTTGACAGCAGTTTTTTTGCAGTGTTGTTAGCAATTCTTTTACAGCAGGATATGGTCTCACACAATTAAAGTAAAAGTACTGCTCTTTTTACAAGGATACTTTTCCAGAATTAGGCAATAGTAGCCTACATTTCGGAGAAGGCAATGGCACCCCACTCCAGTACTCTTGCCTGGAGAATCCCAGGGACGGGGGAGCCTGGTGGGCTGCCGTCTATGGGGTTGCACAGAGTCAGACACGACTGAAGTGACTTAGCAGCAGCCTAAATTTATGAACCTAACTTTACACATCATTCCACACTTTTCAGGGTGCCAGTTACTGTGCTAAGTATTTAAAAGCTGTACCTTGCGTATGAGACTACTAGAAGTTAGGGGCTGCTGTGATCTCTGTTTGATAGATGAAATTCAAACAGGTTAAATGATTTTCCAAAATTGCAATGGCAATTTGCAACGACAGTCTGCAAACAGCAGAACAAGTGCTCTGTTGAATGAGAGAGTTAATCTCAGAGTATGACTTTTTGGTTTGTACCTGGTTATTAATTTGAAGCCAGTTTTTATGTAGAACGTAGTACCTGATATATCTATCCTGGTGTGGCTGAGTAGAAGAGAAAACTCATACTCTTTATGCTCACTGTGCATTTGTATACTCGTTAGGCACTGTGGACTCAGATCAAATTGAAAGAAAAAAACACAGTCCTGTCCAGAAGGATCTTTAACAGTGCTGTGCAAAAGGTATCCATGGTTTCAAGTTAATTTATACTGAGAGATCCCTCTTGACCTCTGATTTTAGGAGGTAAATCCTTATATAAGAGAACAGCAGAAATCATCCCCAACCCCAAGCAGGAGAAAAATGATATCGTAGATCAGAGATGGTGCTCATTTGAAAACACGGAGACAACACCCAAAAATTAGAAATTAATTTTTCTTTAAAAGTAGGATGCTGCACAGTATTTTGAAGAAGGCAAACTCTGAGATATAGGATTAATATTTCTAAAATATCTAGTATAATGGGAGCATATGAGGTGAGTATTGAGTAGATTCAAAAGCCAACCTTAAATGTTTCCTGCATATAATAAAAGTAGCTTTTAAATAAAAGAGAGAAACCTCAGTTCAAAATATATTATCTATTATTCATGTGCCACAGAATTTTAGTGATAGAGAGAATGATTAATTGAATTTTCAAAATACTAGAAAAATTAAATTTTTTTCACTTAGTCTTCATGTTAATGTTCACCAATCATTTTTATGAAGGAATTTGAAATTTACATTAGAACCACAGTTAATATTATTTCTATTTTTTTCTAAACAGTTTTAAAAGTTTATGAAAAAACAAAATGCTTATTATTTTTATTGTATAGCATAGAGTTGTCAGTTTCAATCAGTTATAAAATCTTATACAAGAGTTGCAATAAATTGATAAGTGACAGTGTAGGCTTATCCTTTTTGAGTAATGTAATTAAGATTCTAACTCCCAGAGTGGGCAATAGGAGTATATTTGCAATGACATTCATCCTTAATAATCTATATTTTTTTATGTCTACCATTCCTATTTGGGCTTCCCAGGTGACGCAGTGATACAGAATCTGCCTGCCAATTCAGGAGACACAAGAGATGCAGGTTCAATCCTGAGTCAGGAAGATACCCTGGAGTAGGAAATGGCAACCTCCTCTAGTATTCTTGCCTGGAAAATTCCATGAGTAGAGAAGCCTGGAGGGCTACAATCTATGGTGTCACAAAGAGTCAGACAATGCTGAGAACACACATAGTCCCATAAAGTCTATCCTATTTGTTTATAATATGAATTATGAAAAAAACATTATCCCTTGTGTCCATTTATCAGCTTAAAATAACAATGTTTACTTGGAATACAATTATAACTCATTTTACCAAGATTCTTGTGCTGGAAACTCCTCATTATGGTGGATGTTGTTCAGTCACTCAGTCATGTTCAACTCCTCGTGACACCAAGGACTGCAGCACGCCAGGCTTCCCTGTCCTTCACCATCTCCCAGAGTTTGCTCAAACTCATGTCCGTTGAGTTGGTGATGCCATGTAACCATCTCATCCTCTGTCATTCCCTCCTTCTGCTTTCAGTCTTTCCCAGCATCAGGGTCTTTTCCAAAGAGTTAGCTTTTTGCATCCAGTGGCCAAAGTATTGGAGTTGGATCTCCTTGCAGTCCAAGGGACTCTCAAGAGTCTTCTCCAACACCACAGTTCAAAAGCATCAATTCTCTGGTGCTCAGCTTTCTTTATAGTCCAACTCTCACATCCATACATGACCCACTGGAAAAACATTATTGTAGCAAATAGCAAAAGTATTAAAAATGCCTCAGTAAGTTCTAGTCAATGTCAGTTTTAAAAGTAAAGGCAATTATTTCTTTATTGATATATTTTTTCTCCTGCCCTTTTACTATCAAGAAATTTCCAGGGTAATTGGTTTAATATGCTTGTTTTTTTTTTAATATTTATTATTTATTTTGGCAATGCTATGTCTTAGTTGTGGCTTACAGAATTCGTAGTTGTGGCATGCATGCAGGATCTAGTTACCTAACCAGGGATTGAACCTGGGCCCTCTGCATTGGGAGTGAAAAGTCTTAACCACTGGACCACCAGGGAAATCCCAACATGCTTGTTTTCAAATATATTTATCCATCAATAAAAAAGATCATGGATAACATTGTATATTATCCAATGGAAGAATTTTCCCTCTGTTTTCTAAACAGATATGTGCCAGAATCTGATGATACAGGCACACACCAACCTTGAGTTGTTCTTTATATTTTCTGAGGGTCATTGCCTAATTTGACATTACATAGAACCTTTTTTAGTATCACTGAACATTTTTGCTTTCTCTTAGGCTGTACACAGTGCCATCTATTTAATAATATAACTTTTTAATCTTTACTTTTTGCTTACAATGATTTTAAGATGGAGCTTGTTAAATGACAAAACTCTTTGGATAAGTAAGAAGAAACCTTTCTGGAATTGTTAACTGGGTAGGTAAGGCTTTTATGACAATATTCTCCACATGAGGAGTCATGGTGCTAGTTATTTCTGCCATTTAGAAAGCTAGTTAGTAGAAAACTACAGTTTTGCTCTAATTAAACTAACAAGTGACACCTTAATACACAAACAAATGTCTGTGTTATGTTCTACTCTCTCATACTATTTTCCCATTTAAAAAAAAAAAAAAAAAACCTGTTGTCAGGTTTAAATTAGCTTTCTTGGTTGAAAGCAGCAGTCTTAATTTGCAATTGAAAACCATCCAATTAAACAATAGATTGCCTGGAATTAATGGTAATTGAACAATCTAAATTAAATGGGAGAAATTGTGGACAAGTGAAGGGGAAAATAAACATGGCACAATTTAAGCTTGGAAAGTCACACGTTAATGGGATCATGGAACAATGTTTCTTGGGATACCATTTGCCTTCATACACATCTATAAAAGCCTTTGTGGGACCCTACACTGACCTAAAACATGAGTACCTCAGCAGACATTGAAGCCACTTGAATTGAAGAAGCAATAAGTCCCTATCTTTGCAATGGATTTACTTTCTCTTGGTTAATAGGGCATGGGGAAATATCCCTATGTTGACATCAACCACATAAATGTGACAAGAAAGGGATTTTCCACTGCATATACTGTGATATATCTCTATCAAAGGGTCTACATCTCCTTGCTTATGCAGGATGCATTAGCCAAGACTCCAGAAAATAAGTACCACAGGACACTTATATTGATCTGTTGCCAGAAATAGAGAATTACAGAAATGTAATCTAGTTCTTGAATAATTACTGCTAGGTGTTGGAGAGCTAATTCAAAAAACTCAGCCTTCCACAAAGGTGTCTCTGACTGGGTAATATTAGGTGTTCAAAGCAAAGCAAGCAACCTCTACCTAAAGAAACTGCTATGCACTGGGAAGACCCAGAGGAATCGGGTGGAGAGGGAGGTGGGAGGGGCGATTGGGATGGGGAATACATGTAACCCCATGGCTGATTCATGTCAATGTATGACAAAACCCACTACAATATTGTAAAGTAATTAGCAGTCTCTTGTGTCTCCTGCATAGGCAGGCAGATTCTTTACCACTATGTCACCTTGTAAGCCCAATTATATAATTGAGTCTCTCAGTTATGGGATGAGCAGATTGTCTTCTCTAGCAGGTCAGTAATGGCTTGAGAGAACAAAGACTGGCATGAGTTTTCCTGTGGCTAGGAGGTGAGGCTGGGGTCAGGGCCCTCTGGTATGGCCTGGGACTTTCACGGTTTGACCCTCCTGCTTGTACTGAAGGAGCACCCAGGTTTCCTTAGCTTGTCCAGTTATGGGACACAAAGAAAAGAGGCTTATGAGCTTCCTGCAGTTAAAAATAGATTTTTTAGATGGAATCAGAACTCTTCATTACAGAGATTGAGTATTGAAGATAAGCAAAGTCTGCATAGATATGCATCCAGTTCTTCTCTTGATCCTTAAAATTGAGCTATCTGGTGGTAGACGGCACTCTAGTCGATTCCTTATTTGCAATAAATCAAATGATATTATTTATTCTAAGTAACAGTTCAGGTGATCTCCAGCTATCTTTGCTCCTCCTCAACCTGGATCAACTGTCTCATTTGCTTCTAACTCCTATATTTTCTCTGAATCCAGACTCTTAGCACAGTATTAGAAACATCTTACGGAAAGCAAAGTTTGGCAACATCCCAGAATTGGTGCCTGCAGCTTAGATGTCTGCCATCTTTCAGAATCCTCAGCTGTACTTATCAATTCACCTTTAGTATCTCTACCCTCTTGCCATAACCTCTGCCTTAGATGAAGACTTCTCACTCTATCCAGGTGATACATGGGACTTCCTGGCCAGTGCAACTTTATCCTGAATTGCAGATGATGAATTTGAATACTGAGACTTCTTATGTTTTTGACTATGTCACCATCTCAGTCTTCTCTCTGCATGCTGTCACTTCAGTCATGCCTGATGCTGTGCAACCCTATGTTGTAGTGTGCATCAATCGTCCAATCATTCATGTATACTCACAGGCGAGGCAGTCTTATGCATACGTCACTATTTTATATTTATAGGACACTCCTCTCTGATAGGCCTAGGTGGCTGTCTTGCGTCTATCTCTCTTAAAAAAATATTGGATAATAGTTGATTTACACTGTTATGTTAGTTTCAGGTATACAGCAAAGTGTTTCAGCTATACATTACATATATTCATTCTTTTTTGGATTCTTTTCCCATATAGGTTATCACAGAATATTGACTAGAGTTCCCTGTGCTTATAGTAGGTCCTTGTTGTTTATCTATCTTATATAAAGTAGTGTGTGTGCATGTCAATACCAAGCTCCTGATTTATCCCTCTTTTCTCATGCATGTGTTTGTGTGAGAGAGGAAGAAAGCTCTGATATGAAGAAAGACCTAATGAAATACATGGGGAATGAGACTTATGAAAAGTAATTCACTTGTGGTAATGAAAAGATGTCTTTCTTAGAGCTTATGGCAGAGCACTTTGAGATATTAAGTACATTGTTAGAGGGAACATAAACAAAATTAAAACACAGACATAAAACAGATTACAACAGAAGGCTAAATGGAATTAGAATAGAAAAAAAGTATCTTAAAATTTGAAATGTGCTGTGCTGTGTATATCACATGATTCTAAGATAATTAGAATTTCATATTACGCTGGAGGTATCTGTTTTCTATAAAACTGTCTGAAATAGATCATCCAAACATTATGAACCATATATTTATTTTCCAGACTTGCCTATCTGTTAAACCCACAAGTAATGAAATTGAAAATCTACACATGAGAAAACCTTTTAATTATGCAGAATAACACAAACACTAAACCAGAAAACAAATTTAAAAAACCTATTTAGAAATAATGTGTGTTACCTTTTCAAAGTGAACTCTGAGGCTGTGCATTTTCCTGGTGGAATTCCTCTCTCAATGGTTTGGTATTAATGGTATTTTACTTTTTCCTCTCTTATGCCTGATTTTCTTTGGATGGAAAACATTATTTCCAAATACTCTCCTGTCTTTAGGATATTTATAATGCTGGCAGTTATCTACCCTGTATGAGGCAGGCACTTGTGGAAGTAATATGTCATTTTCCAGTTTTACTATTTATATCTGCTTTCTTTGAAAGAAACTTGGTGGTTATTTGTTGCAAATTGGCTACAGTAAATAAAAAATATAAACAGTGTATTTTGTGGAATAAAACAGGGCTTCCAATAGCATGAGAAAAATATATGCAATGGGCATTTTACATACAAGATAATTTTTGTGAATATACATTAATAACATAACTCTTGTGTACTTATTTTGTTTTTTAATTATGAACATTGAACATGGACATATTTTCCCCAAAATATTTATTTCACAGACACAATTCTGTATATCTGTTCCACTGCATTTAAAATACCCTAAAATTTTCTTTTCCCTTGAAACAAATCTAAAAAATATGTAATAAGTAAACCCATCACCTGAGAAACAGATAAATAGCTACAACTGTAAAACATATATATGTATATATTTAACAGATGCACTTTAATGTACAATTTATAACAAAGAAATATGAAGATTGAAGAAAGGATGGGACTATGACAACTAAGAAACAGAGATCTTGAGACCTGGTTCAGACACAGATTTTTTTTTAAGTAAGTTTTAACACCTTGAAATATCCATTTAATAACATTGTGATTAAATACATGGGATCTAAGGCTATGGGTGGGCCATGAAAGAAGAGTACTATATTTTTAATGGAAATTGAGTCACATGTTACAGAATGAAAGAAAAGTAGTCTTTAAGATGGAAGGGACTCACAACTATGTGATATTACTCTTTTAATGCATAATCGTCTCTTCACAAGATGTCTGCTTGTATTAAAAAAGAAGGAAAGATAAGCTTCAAGGCACACCTAGAACCACATGAAATAAATTTAGTTTAGTCAGCACAGGATAACCATCACTTCATTGATTATTGTTTAGCCACTAATCCATGTCTAACTCTTCTGCAACCCCATGGACTGTAGGTCTCCAGGCTCCTCTGTCCATGGCATTTCCCAGGCAAGAATACTGGAGTGGGTTGCCATTTCCTTCTCCAGGGTATCTTCCAACCCAGGAATCAAGTCCACATCTCCTGCACTGGCAGGCAGATTCTTTACCTCTGAGTCACCAGGAAAGCCCCATCATGATCACTGGGAGAAGATAATAAAAATAAAAGCAAAACCTACGATAGCCCAGTTTTTTGACTAAAGAAAGTTTCCAGACTTCAGTACAGGGAGAACTCAAACAGAGGTCAGTGGCCTTGCTGAGTTGGGAAGATGGAGTCTAGAATTTAAAGAAGCCAAGTTAACTCAAAGCTGAGCAAGTACTAGAGAGAAACTACACAGATTGCTCCAGGTATCTACAAAATGATATCCTTGGATTCTAAAATAAGCACTTCTCTGCACATTCATCTGAGGAACTTGAGACTTGAGAGGGAAACACCAGAAAAGAATAAAGAGAACAATCCAGATAGCTCACACATGGGCCAAAAGTTCATGTTTCTACCAGCCAGAGTAGAAAGACCTCTTAGTGCAGGAAGCAATGTGTATTGTCCTCAGAATAGTCA